GGCTGGGCCTGTGCGCTCCTGAAGTTTAATCCGGAGGAGATGCAATCTGCAGGATGTGGGGCAAGATGAAAGCTGTGCCCCTGTCCTCAGCGCCCATGGCACCGGGGGGATGCTGCCCGGTCCTTCACAGCTCTCCCGTCCAGTGCATCCCAAAGCACACTGGCACAGCTTGGTGGGGCAGGAGCAGCATCCCTGGCACAACACGGGGTGAAGGCGATTGGAAAGGCAAGTCAGCACAAGCAGAGGCCAGGGTGTGACTGCGCTGCTCCAGGGAGTTTCTGCAGGTCTCTGTGTGCGCGACCGCCTCGATAAGAAGCTTCCACTTACCCTAAACATGCAGTAAATCAGCGTTAAAGCAGCCCCAGGAGCCACAGGGCAGCCAGGCTGACAGAAGGAATAGGGAGAGCACAGCAGTGCTGCCCTTGCGCATGGGAGAACACGGATCAGCTCTGTGCTGCGGGAAAGGGGCTGCATCAGAGCCGGGGGCCAACCCCAACCCAAGTCAGCCCATTCCTGCCTCCAAGTTGGCACTATGGCCCCGCTCCTCAGCCTCTCCCACGACACCCCACGGAGGCTGAGCCTCCCGCATCCGTAAGGGAGAAAGGAGGATGCAGCAGCCTCCGCCTGAGCCCCACTCCCTGCCCAGGGACTGTCCCGTCCTGGATTCTCAGGCACATCCTCCACCCACTCCAGCACGAGCATTGCCTCTGCTGCAGCTCTTTGAGCCTGGTTACTGACCCGCCTGAGAACGTGACCCGGCTGCACGTATTTTTAGGTTTAACTACGTACTTGTGCTGAGGCAGAACACAACGCCGCCGGTTTCGGGCTCCCAGCCTCAACCCGGAGCATGGGAGGAGCTATTTTGGTATGGAAAGGGCAGCTCCGCATGTTTTCTCTGCCTCAGAGTGCAAGTGCCATTGAACTCTTCCCCAAGAGAGAACTCGCTCTTGCACACTGGAAGAGGCAGCCATGGCAATCCCCCAGCCCCGCGCTGGGAATCCAGGCACAGCCCCAGCATCCATGGAGATGCCGTTGCTAAACTCAGCCCCTTTCAGCTCTAATCTAATCAACATTCCTGGGTAGTTCCCCTAAAGAAGGATCTGTTATCACAGTCTGGAGGTTCCCACACGGGCCCTACGAAGGCAGATTGTTTGCTGAGTACAGGCAAAGAGGGAGGTGGAGGGGGATTTGCGACTCGCTGTGTTATTCTTGACTTGAAAGCACATCTGCTCGAGAGACAGAAGCTCTGGCAAAGGCCTGGCAGCCGTGCAAGTCCCCTGTTGTGAGCTGCAGCACGGGGGGGAGCAAGGCAGCGCTGCTGAACCCATGGGCACTGCTGTCTGCAGCGGCACAGGCTGGGGTAGACGCTGTGGCTCTTGGCAGCAGTGCATCCTGCTGGTCCACAAAAGGACAGGAACGGCCCCTCCAGCAGCTTTCCAAGGCAACGGTGATAGTGTGCAAGGCACAACGGCCAGGCCTGGTGTCCGTTTCCCCCTGAGCCACTGGCACAGATGCCCCTACCAGAACCGGGCAGCTCTACCCTGCATCAGGATCTGCATCAGCGAAGCAGCTACATGGCCTCAGGTCCCATCACTGCCCTGCCTGCCTGCACTTTGAGGACACAGGAGGTGGACAAGAGCCTCTGGGCACATAGGGCCATGAACCAAAAGCACAGAACTGAGCCCAGGCTGCCATGCAGAGAGCAGCTTCGTCCCCATCATTACTGGAAACAAACCAAACCCCCACCCAGGTAGAGGGCAAAGCCCCAGACCTGCCAGCTCTGGTGCTGGAGCACCCTGGCCGTGCCCATCGCTCCCCAGCAAGGCCTGGAGCTGTGGCAGCGCATCCATGGGCAATGCCTGAGTCCCCCTGGGAAGAGCTGGTCCCTGGGAAGGAGAGAGCTCAGGAGCACTGGATGCTGGCTGAGCACCGCAGCAGCTCTGCTCCGACCACAGCAGGACAGACCCGCAGGCACCCCCCGATCCCACAGGGAACGCAGGCACTGCATGGTGAAAACCTACCCGCCCAGGGCACACCTGCTGGTAACTGCTCTCCCTTTTACACCTCTGAAGCAGAGAAATGAAACTCGCCTACTCCTTGTAAAGCATCGCTGGTGATCAAACCCATCCATCCTCCCTCCACCTGGCCGCCAGGATGAAAGCCCTTCCTGACAGGGCTGGGACCAGCACTGCGGGTCTGGGAGGCACCCAGCCCTTTGGGAGCAGCACTCCCAAGCCACCAGGCATGCTGTCAAACAGGAGTTTCACCCTGCCACAAGATCCCGGCACCGTGCGGCTTCTGCACTGAGCGCATTTGGCCAACAGGCAACAAAGAAAGAATTTACCAGAGCAGGAGGAGCAGCAAAGCACCGCGTCCCCTGTAAGGCTTGGAGCAAAAACCCTATCCATCCTGTATGGCTTTTCAAGGAAAACAGAGCCATTTGGGAGCCTTTCAGTTCTCCATCGCTTCTGTCCACCCTATGGCAGCATTTCTCTAACCAGATTTACTGCTGCTAATGTCAGAGCCTGCATTTGCCACTTAGGAGGGGCACATTCAGCCTGAAAGGTGCATTTTCCAACGCACCTCTATCAGCCCCAGGGAGCAGACAGCATTCCTGTTTGTACAGGGATCAGCAGCAGGACTCCAGGCAGGCCACGGCCACGCTTGGTCCCAAGGAAGGGAGTTTTCCAGGCAGCCTGTCCTTGCCCCAGCACTGCTGCTGGACGATGCTCAGCTCACCCTGCACAGCTTCCAGAGCCTCCAACCGCCTCCACAACCATGGGGCAGGAGGAACTGAAATGAATTAACTCATAGCCAGCTCCTCTGCCCTGGCCTGGTTGCTGGAGGAGCCCCTCAGCTCCAGTCACCCAGCTAAGAGGTGGCAAGTGTTTAAACAGTGAAACCAGGGTGATCTTGACAAGAGGGGGGAGCAGTTTCCCAGCACCTCCCTTCCTGCTCTTGCTGGGATGGAATTTATCGTGAACAAGAAGCCCCTGGGTGCAAAGCTGCTTAAAACAGACAGGAGGTAGCACAGGGACAAGGGAAAGCTCACCCCAGCGCCTGCCATCCTGCGTGAGGAGGGCAACGAGCTCCTCAGCTCAGCTGGTTCGCTGTTGTGCCAAAGTTCTTTTACCAAAGCTCCTGTTCACAAGTGTCTCCAAAGGGTATCAAGGGCAGCTTGCCAGACTACAGCTGAAAACCCCAGGTTGATTATGAGGGTGCATTGCTTTGCGTGACCATCAAGTGAAGAACTGGCCCCTACGTACTTCAAATCAAAACTACAACAGAAGGGAACTTATCTGGAAAACTACATCAAAGCTGTTAAAAAGGTCTTACACTTTTCCATGAGGAGAAGGGAGAAAATCAAAGTCCATTTTATATTGGCTGTAGGGACAAATATTAGACAAACTTACGTCTTCTGTTGACTTTCGTGAGAGCATCGGATGCAGGTATCAGATACTCCTACACAGCTTTCAAGACTTTCTATCATAGCCTTTTCTTTGACATTTGTAAGATCAAAGCCAAGCATTCTGGAGAATTCCTGAAAAGCAGACAAGTCATCACACGCGCTTCGGCACGCTCACTCGGGGAAGTTTATCATGCCAAGTAGACACCTGGAGCAAAGCCACCCTAACAAAGATGCCCCTCGCAGCCCCTTTGGCAGGCTGCAGAAGCCCCCACAGCCATGGGGCATGGCCCCAATGGGGTCACCCTCAATCCCATGCACCCCGATAGCACTCACCCCACTGGGGCAGCTCCAGCTTCTGCGGGCAGGCCCTGGGGGACCAGGGTGGCTTCGCTGTTCCCGTGGGACTTCACACAGACACCAGCCCAGCACCATAACGACTCCCAAGTCGCAGCCAGCGCTCTGCACTTCAGGCACAGCTCCCAGTCAAATGCTGGGAGCCAACGCTTCATCCACAGCCCCAGCACCCAAAGCTGCCCTAAGAGCCAGCATCTTTGTGGCTCGCATCCCAGCACACATCGTGTGGGCAAAGCAAAAGACCTCTTTTCGTTTCAGGGAATAAAAAGCAGCAAAAAGCAAGATCTCATGGGTCAGGAAGGCCCAGAGCAGACTCAAACACATTTTAGATGTTAGAGCTGGTCCAAGCCTCAGTAAAGCCGCTACTCCAGGTAAAGCTGTGTGCATACTACAGCTGTAATTTGATGGATGTAAGATCACAGCAAGGAATTTGAGTACAAGAGCCAAGAAAGTCCTAGGTCACGTTTTAATTTGCTATTGCTGTTGGACATTGAGAGGACATAAGGACTCCAGAAATTACAGGGAAAGATCATCAGCAAGTCTCTGATGCACATACATTCAGCTGCACCATGTGTATAGGACAGCCTAAAAAGCTTGTCAGGGGCAAATCAAAAAGCGCACGTGAACTTTGCTGGATGCCAGCATCTTTATTAGCTTTGCATCAAGCACTTTGTTTGCAACTCCCTTGCCCCATCCCTGGACGGGGTTTGGAGCAAGCTGGTCCAGTGGAAGGGGTCCCTGCCTGTGTCACGGGGTTGGAACTCGATGAGCTTTAAGGTCCCTTCCAAACCAAACCGTTGTGCGATTCGATTAAATTTGCCCCTCCATACAAAGCAGCACGAAGTTTTTGGGAAGGGTCCCGATGGGCTGAGGCTGCTGCGACGAAGGCTTCATGCAGAATCACAACAGGACGCGAAGAGGCAAAACCAAACCGGACCAAAACCCGGCGAGGAACCACAGGCGCTCCGCGGCAGAGGGCAGTGAAGGGCAGCGCATTCCTCCCCACGGCGAGGGCTCTCCTCGGGCTGCGCCTCGCCCCCCACCCGGTGCATCCTTGCGCGGACACGGATGGAGCCGCTCCGCCGCGGATGCGGCACCGGAGCCTCCCCAGCGCTGCGGCGGGGGCTACCCGGGCCCCAGGCGGGGGCTCGCAGGCTCAAGAAGGGGGAAGACCCCGTCCCGGTCCCACCGCATCACCACCACCACCACCAACCACCCCGCGCATCCCCCGGCCCACCTGAGGTGTCCCACATGTTGAGCTCGGTGCGCTGCTTGTCGATCTCGAAGCTGGCCGTGTAGTTCTCGAAGACGGTGGGCACGTAGCTCTGGGGGGGGGGACGGAGGGAGAGCAGAGGTGAGCAGAGGTGAGCCCAGCCGAGCCAAACCGAGCCCGAGCCCGGCCCCGCCGCGCCCGCCCGGCCGCGCACACCTCGGGGTAGCAGTCCTTGGCGAAGACGTGCAGCAGCGCGGTCTTGCCGCACTGCGTGTCCCCCACCACCACGATCTTGCAGCGCGCCAGGTGCCCCTCCATGGTGCGGGACCGCGCCGCCCGCGCCGCCGCTTTACCGGGACGGCCCCGGCCTGGCCGCGCCCCCGGACCCAGCAGCACCAACCAGGCGCGGAGCGGAGCCGGCGCTGGGCAGGGATGCGCCGCCTCCCCCCCCCCTCCCCGCTCTCCACCCTCCAAGCCCCCCCCCCCCAGGCTCGGAGCAGGGGCCAGAGCCGGGGGTCGGGCACTGCCCCGAGGGGGCTCCCCGCGTCCGGCACCTCCCGCAGCACCGCGGAGGCCCCGAGCTGCGCGCACCGGCCCCGCGCTGCCGACGGCTGCGGGAGGGTCCGGCGCGGGCACAGCGGACACCGAGGGGCCGCGATCGCTCCGGTTCCTGCGCGGGAGCTGCCCCGTCCCCCCGTGGCACTGCGCAAGGAAGGGGGCTCGGCGGAACGGGACCTGCCGGCATTTTGTCCCGCTCTCCCCTGATGCTGGCAGGGTCCGTGTGGAGGCTGCACCAGCCGGGGCCCCCCTCACGGCTCTGTGCACGGGGAGCAGCACCTTGTGCCTTCCATCCCCCCAGGTCCCGGCAGTGCGGCTGGAAATCAGAGCCAGCCATTGGAAGTCGAAGCATTGAGAAAGCAAAGGCTCCTGTAGTTACTGCTGCTGCTTTGCTGGCCACGCTGCAGGGAGATTTACCATAATAGCAAACTTTCATTTGCCAGAAACAAGCTGTCACAAAATGCAGTGAAAACAAAGAAAACCAAGCAAGTCTTACGGAACGGAAACTGAAATGTTTTGGCAGTGAAAACTGGGTTTATTAATGGACTGAGGGGGCAGTTTGTTTCTGTGGAAATCACAGTCTCTTTTCATGTATAAATACTGGTGCTGCGCCTGGAGCCGGGATGAGGAACGCCCGCGGACACGGGGCAGGGCACTGGGCCATGGAGGCACCCTGTGTCTTCCAGCACTGCTTTGTTTTCTGCTGGGACACATCAACCAGGGCCAGTGTGCACTTCGTGGAACTGCCCCGTGTCTTGGGGCCAAGTGCAGGCGGGGCTGGAGGTGTGTCCTGAGCACATCCAGCTGGTCAAACGAGAACTCAGGCCCCCCACATCCATCCTATCATCACATACCAGACAAGAGCTAAGACAAGACCAGACATGACAGAGGGCTAAGGCTGCCCTGGGATCATGGTAGTGTAGCTCACCCAGTCTGACTCCTGCATTATATGGGCCAGGAAACTATTGTCAGTCGATTCCGACTTCCGTGCGTGTTGCTGCCGCATCTCTGTGCCTCCCAGCCTTGCCTTAAGCAATGCGATGAGTAACTGTCACATGCTTGTTTCCTTCCACCCTCCCCAGGGAAAGAAGCTTGTGCTGCACTGTGTCATGTTTTGTAAAGCCCTGTAGGGTTTTTCGCCTTCTTGTCTGTGTGTGTGTGTGTCACCCAGCTCTTCTGTGGAGAAACAAGAAAAGTTCATTGTGCTTGAGACTGTGGGTAAAGGAGTGCCTGGTGGCCATCACTGTCACCTGGAACAAGCTGCTCCCCTGGACAACACCCTTTCTTGGGAAAGCTTTTCACTGTGCTTCTCAAAAGGAATTGGTGTTTCGCTTCCAACCAACAGATTATTGTGACCCTGCTTCAGAGGAAGCAGGAAACTCTCTGTAGTGAATCATAGAAACCCAGACTGGTTTGTGTTGAAAGGGAGCTCAAAGCTCCTCCAGCTCCAACCCCTGCCACGGGCAGGGACAACTTCCATAGAGCAGCTTGCGCCAAGCCCCTGTGTCCAACCTGCCCTTGAACACTGCCAGGGATGGGGCAGCCACAGCTTCTCTGGGCACCCTGTGCCAGCGCCTCAGCACCCTCACAGGGAAGAGCTTCTGCCTAAGAGCTCAGCTCAGTCTCCCCTCTTCTACCTTAAAGCCGTTCCCAGCCTCTCTCAGCCTGGCTCCAGAGCAGAGCTGCTCCAACCCTCGCAGCAGCTCTGTGGCCTCTGGACTCGCTCCAGCCCCTCCACGTCCCCTTTGTGCTGTTGCCCCAGAGCTGCATCAGGACTGCAGGGGGGGCTCCCCAGAACGCAGCAGAGGGGCAGGATCCCCTCCCCGAGCTGCTGCTCACACTCTGGGGGTCCAGTCCAGCACACGGGGGGGTTCCGGGCTCAAGCACACGCTGGAGCCAGGGAGCTTCTCATCACCCAGCACCCCCAACTCCTCCTCAGGGCTGCTCTCAATACATATGCATTCAGTTCTATTAACATCTATCACCCTGGTCTATACAATACATAACACTGCAGACCTCTGTAAATCTGCCAGCCACATGGGGCTTCCCTCGCGGAGGGAAAGCAGCTGCGAGCGCCTTTTGCTTGGAGCCACTTGGGGCACTGTGAGTGCCGAGCCCTGCGCTCCGTTTGGCGCAATGCACCTCTTGCTGCATCCCGGCAGCCTTCAGTCACGGTGTGAACGTTCCGAGTGGGATGCAGAGGGAGACGTGCTGTGGCTGTCACCGCGGCTGGTGAGGCGACAGATGGCTCTCGCATGTCTGCTCCTGAAAACGCTTCTCCAGGGGCTAGACGCTCCCTTGCTGAGCCATGCTCTCCGGGATCCTAATGGCCATTAGGAATTAGCTTTATTGTGTTATGTTGGTGTTATTTCTTATACAAAGGAACTAGAAAACATCCTCAGGAGCTGTAATAGCGAAATGGACTAGGGGAAGACAACCTTTACTGAAGGACCCACAGCCTGAAACCTGGAGCCTGTGACATCTTGTTCTCATGCTTGCACAGAGTCTCAAAGTCTGGTCCTTGACGACCACTGCAACATCCTATTTCCACTGGTAAGCCAAAAACCTGGGACAGGAATAAGGGACACACTAATTTCTCATCAGATCTTGTGTCTTTTTGTCTGACTTGTCAAATATGTGAAAGAGCTAGAAACGTGCCAGGCAGAACTGCAGCATGTTGCTGTTCACACTCAGCAGTTACATCATTCAGTCCCGATGGTGTGTTATTTGATGGTTTCCACTGCAAGATGAAGAGGTGGCAAAGCAGTGGAGTTTGAACACACACACAGAGCAGAAAAGATACAAATCAACAGCAATTAGGAATGTTAAAAGGAAGAGAGAGAAAAAAACCAACCCAACAGCCAAATCCTCTTTCATGTGTCCAGCCTGTTTACATCCTATACTAGAATAACGCTGATCTCACTGCTGCCATTAATGAAGTTTACACCTCTGGTTGAGCACATTAATTTATCTCAGCAAGCCAAAACTCATTATAAGAGCCCATAAATGCTATCAGATGAAAGCAGCATCCTTCAGCTATCTCAGGGATTAAAGCAAGGAGGCACTCAACTGACAAGTCTTCCGCTGGCAGGACTGCAGTCGGAGCACGCGTGGTGTGGGACGCACAATACCTCAGTTATGGCTGCGGGTTTCTCTCTATGGAGAAAGTGATGTGGAGCCTCTGCAGCACCCCTGTGGGGGCGAGCAGCTCCCTTCTCCCCCGCTCTCAGGACACTTCCTAGGATTCATCAGGCCCAGCAGCAGCTGAAGGGACATGGGAGGCTCTGGGCGACTCCAGAGGTTGGCTGCGGACTGATCTGTGCAGGGACTGGCAGCCCCAAAGGCAAATAAAGAGGGTCAGGGTGGGAGGAGGGAAATGGCTGATTCTCTGATTCTGGCCCCTTGGGTGTGGAAACCTCCTCACGGCACACGTCCCCTCCCACACCGCATCCGGCCCCTTGAAACGCAACTTCCAGCCAGCACCGGCCTTGCCCTGGGTGCAGGCAGTGCAGGATGTGCATGGTCCTGCCCATTGGGCCCCTTAAGCCAGAGCCAGCAGCTCCCAGCACCGCTGCTGTGGGTTACAGGGGAGCCTGGCTGCTCCCAGGCTGAGGGGCTCAGAGGGAACAGCTTCTCCAGCAGTAGGAGTGATCTCCACCACCTTTGCGTCTGAAATCACTTGTCAAAATGACGTATTTTCAGTTTTGCAGCTCTTTTTTCACATGGAGAGTGGTGGAGGGCGGGGAGTGAACCAAAATGAACTCGCAGAACTCCAGCTTCTTTTCCATTTAATGTCACACATGAACTGCACATCACGAACGCAAACCGGGCTTTTCTTCCAAGTCCTCCTTCCAGCAGGCCCAGCACAACGTGGGCAGGGGCTGGGTGGGGGTGAGCCTCTCGGGCTCTGCACCCCGCTGTGCCTCAGCACCACGCTCGCTTTTCCTTGCAGAGCAGCCCACATCCCCGGGAATGCCGTGCGTGTGGCACAGCCCTTGGGATGCAGCAGTTCTCTGTGGTGCAGAGAAAACCATCTCCCCTTACAAGACACGCACCGTGTCCGGCGGTTACCTCATCCCTGCAAGCCACAGTGAGCACACCGAGGGGAAGGTTGTGCGTTTTCAGCAAGGGAAGGAAGACATGCTGGCCAAATGGTCAGCTCCTCCCGGGTGCACAGCATGTGGATGCGCTAAGCCCTGTCATTTTGGGACTGCCGTTGTCAGTAAACTATTGATGCTGCGGTGGAAGGTTGAAGTTAAGGAGAAGGATTCTCATTTCACAGGATTTCTGCAAGGAGCACAGTGGAAAAGGTGCCTGCCTCCAGAGGAGGACATGGTGGGATGCTGTCCTGTGCACACCAGGAAACCAGCCTCGTGCCAGCCGTCCTGCTTGTTTGTGCTGCCCATCCTCAGCCTCTGCAGCTTGGGTTTGTGGGGGGGGAAGATGCTGAAGCATCCTCAGCAGTGTTTTGTGGGAACGATACGCTGCGCTGGAAGGGTTTCTTCAGTCTGCTGTCATCATGAGGACTCGTGTTCGCTGAGCATCAGTTACCACTTGGCAATCACCTCCATTGTCTCTGTGATCAAAACAGCGGCGCAGGGAGCTGTGGCTGTGAGTGGCAGGTACGTTTGAGAGGCTGTGTCACATTTCTTCTAGCTGCTGCCTCGACCTGTCAAATCTAAATGTAATTTACTGTGATACAGGCACAGTGTCATCCAGGAGGCACAGCATCCTTGTATGTGTGATACAGCTGGGAGATCTCATCTGTGTGCATCCCAATGCTGTCAACACAGGTGAGGCAAAGGCAGAACAAAGGCAGAAGGACTCTTTGAGTTCCCACAAACCCAGACAG